CAACAAATTACCAAGGGATTTTAGACAGTATGTATTTCAAAATAACTTTCAATATATTTTTCATTGAAGCCATTTTTAGACAGGTAGCTAGTAAGAAATAGTCAATTCTCAAACTTCTAAGATATTAAAACTATTCTTCCATCTTAATACACAGTTAGAATATTACTGCATTGACTTGAAAGTTAAGCAAGAATGAATCTAATCTTAGAGTGGTGAGGCAGCCCTAAAGAGGAAGGAAGAATGGAATTTGGTAATTGATAAGTTTCCTTTTCCTCAAACAGATTTCTTCCCAGTAGAAATCTGTGTCATTCAATTCAGGTTCTCAACATGACCAGACAATTAATTGTGTACTGATTCTAAACAGCACTAGTTTGAGATGCTACAAGAGAAAAATGGTTTAAGATTATTCAAGTTTGAAAAAACAGTAATATGCAATAATTTGAGGGCATTCAGGTTCTACTCTAGAAATAATGAAGACATGTGACATTTATTTCCCATATTTAAAAAAACGTAATATCCTTGTTAAATATTATCAGGATGAGCTTATAAGCTGTACTCATTTTGTTTATTACAAAACTTGTCAGATTGTTATCTACTTTCCCCAATAGGTAATTTTATAATAGGTGCTTATACAAGAGACTTCAAAAAGTTCATGGGAAAATGGAATTAAAAGATGATATTAATCTTTCCATGAACTTTATTTTTATTTATTTATTTATTTTCCTTTTTGTCTTTTTTCGTGACCGGCTACAGATTGCAACCCTCAGTGTCGCGCCTGTACCGGACCGGGACCGGCAACGGGATCGCAACCCTCGGTGTTGCTCCCGCACCTCGCTCAGCCAGTGAGCAGCCGGTCTGTATGTGGGATCCGAACCCTCGGCGGGAGCGCCACCGCACTTTCCAAGCGGCGCACTGTAGCAGTGCGCCACCGGGCCGGCCCAATCTTTCCATGAACTTTAAAAAAAAAAAAAGATGACTGGTAAGGGGATCTTAACCCTTGACTTGGTGTTGTCAGCAGGCTCTCCCAAGTGAGCTAACCAGCCATTCCTATATAAGGATCCAAACCCACGGCCTTGGTGTTATCAACACCACACTCTCCCAAGTTAGCCACGGGTTGGCCCTTTCCGTGAACTTTTTGAAGACAACCTCATAGTCCCTCAAGTTAGCTCAAAAAACTTTTTAAAAAAATCAATAACTTACCAATTGAATAGCACTGTACCAGAACCTAACTGCTACATCTAACAATAAATAGTCGTACAGGAAAGCTTATTCAAATTTTAAGTTGTGGTGCTAGGACTTTTATCTCTACTGCAACTGGAGCAGAACCCAGCAGATCTAAGAAGAGTGATGAAAAGGGGTTTAGGGTTCAGGGAATAAAGATCTAGGTCAGTAAAAGCATCTTGTAGTGGCATAACTTTTCCTTCCTCCCACACCTAGCCTCAAAGGTTGCCTTCTGTACATCTCATTCCACTTCCAATTGCTTTCAACCATGGTTTCTTGCTTTCTGCCTCAGTGCTGATCAGAATATGCTGCTTCACAGCTCCTCTCCTACTCTGCTGTGCCTGAAGGATACAGGCCTTTTAGGTTGTTTTCTTTGCTACCACTCACCTAAATGTACCAAATGTAAATAGGCTTCTTCCCCAATCAAAGCAGATGGCTTGGAACAAGTCACAGCTGTCATTGTCAAAAAAGAGCTAAAGAAATTAATCAATCATATTTTTAAAAGATTATCCCAGAATGACACTTATTAGCATTAACAGCTAAAATACAAGAAAATGTGTTATGAATATGCCATGCAAAATGCATACCAAACTTTGAAAATAGATCTACAATTTATAGTAAATGAAGATCATTTATTTATTTAATGGTTGATTTTTCATCTTACCACATGTATTTGAATGTAAGGTTTTGATGCCAGACTCATATATTAATAACTAAAATTTATTTGGTACTATGTGTCAGATACTGAGTTCAAACATTTTATTATTATTTTTCATTTTCATAATAACCCTTTAAGGGCTTATTATTGTCTCAATTATAGATCAGAAAACAAAGACTTAGGGAGGTGAAGTATACTGCTAAAAGTCACCACAGCTAAATCAATGGTGAAACCAGTCTCTGGACTCCAAAATCCATGTGTTTAAACATCTATATCATGTTGCTTGCTACACATTCCTATATATAGGTTAAATTTTATAAACAACTCTAGTGCGATTATCCAAAACCAAACTCCTATTCTTTTCCGCACATCTACTCCTTCTCAAAAGTTCTTTGTTTCAGTAGATGCCACTTACCTAGTTGCTCAAACTAGTTAGTCTTCATAGATTCCTGCTGGTCCTTACCTTCCATGCCCTACCTATCTCCTAAACCTTCTAAAATCCATCTATTTCTTTCTACAGGCTCTGCCATAATCTCAGTCAGGCCTGACGTGCATGAGACTGAAGCAAAGACTTGTCCTTGCATGTTCACTCTAATGATTAGAGTCTATTCTCCAGATAAGATATAGCTGAGTGAAGTGGCAAAGGAATAGACTCAAATTCAAAAAATAAGGCTCATGCAAGTAATGTTTGATGTTATCAGGTTTCAACATCTGAGACAATCTTTTTGAGGTAACATTCCTGTTACAGATTTTAACTTATTTTTCTGTATCCTTTTCCAGCTTTCCATTCCATTCCTCTCCCCAGACACTAGCTTGCTAAAAGACTGTTAAGTAATGCTTCTGTAGCAAAACCCTCCCCGTTTAAAATACATTTACCTGTTTATGAATGGTTTTGAAAATTGTGTCAACACAAACCACTCTTATATACCAATACTGAATTCCTTTTCCCTTCCAAAAAACATACCACAACATGAGAAAAAGGCAGGCACCCCTTTCTCATTTATCCTATAAGGATTTTATAAAATTTGAGCTCTTTGGCAAAACATCTAATAGTAATAGCATCTTTTTACAGTTACGTCGTTTTCTATTTTTAAAGTACTTTCACATACAATTTCATCCTTCAGCAGTCATGTGAAGTAAGCTTTATGGTTATTATTCTCAGATCAGAAAACTACTCAGAGACATTGTCATTTGGCCTAGGTCATAAGGCTATTATGCAGAGAGCCAGGACGGAACACTAAACAAAGGAACTCCCTATTCACTGCTCTTTCCACTATGTATCACTGCCTGTTTTTAAAAAATGTTTTAATTTATAACATGATAAGAGTTGTTTTCAAAAATAAAATTTCATGTTTTTCCTTAAAGTTTTTTTTTTTTTTTTTTTTTTCCTTTTTTTGTCTTTTTTCGTGACCGGCAACGGATCACAACCCTCAGTGTCGCGCCTGTACCGGACCGGGACCAGCAATGGGATCGCAACCCTCGGTGTTGCACCCGCACCTCGCTCAGCCAGTGAGCGGCCGGTCTGTATGTGGGATCCGAACCCTTGGCGGGAGCGCCACCGCGCTCCCAAGCGGCGCACTGTAGCAGTGTGCCACCGGGCCGGCCCTTCCTTAAAGTATTTTAACTATAACTTAATTTATACTGTATTATAAAGGAGGGAGAAAGTAAGACCTAACTGAGGAAGGTCAGCACAACTCTACTATATTTAGAATTTCTGTGTAAAAAATGATCCAAAAAAGATTACAGAAATATTTCTTTTCTTTCTTTCTTTCTTTTTTGGCAGCTTGACAGTATGACGATTTGAATCCTTAACCTTGGTGTTACAAGGCCACTGCAGTGGATTGAATTGTGTCCCTCCAAAACTCACTGAAGCTTGAACTGTGTCCCCCAAGTTTTATGTAATGGAAACGTGGCTCCTACTGTTTCTGTTAAGAAGGTGGGAAATCCTGTTATGGTAATTGAAAGGTAGAGCCTCGAAGAGATGATTGGATTGTAGGACTGTGCAGAAGTGAATGAATTAAAATGGTAGTCAGGTGTGTGGTTCTGAGGGCTTTAAAAAAGAAGAGAGTCTGTCTTTCTCTCTCTCTGCTCTGCCATTTTCACAGAGTGATACCCTGCCATCACTGTCACCACCACCATGATGTTCACCAGCTGTGTTCCCTGGACTTTGTACTTCCTAGCCTCACAAACTATAAGCAAATAATTTTTTCTTCTTTATAAAATACCCAGTTCCAGGTATTTTGTTATAAGCAACAGAAACAGACTAATACAGCTGTGCTCTAACCAACTGAACAAATCAGCCAGCCTCAGTATTTCTTTTCTTATTGGAACCAATTAAAGTAAAAATCCACAGAAATCAAGTTAAATCTCTAACAAAAATTGTAACCACATTGTAGCTGATCAAAATAATCGCCCAGAAAATAAAGATAACTATGACACATAGAAATAAGCTGCGAAAAGCATGCACAGAAAAGACATGCTTTCATTTAGAACAGCATGCTTCAAACTAAACTTGCAGGCAATCTAAAGAGAATGTAAAACATATATAAAACTTACCTTCTTTGAAATTAAATGAAATACACATTTATAGAAAACCTGCTGTCCTTTTTTTTGGTCAGAACAAGCCAACAACAGCAAGTAGCCATAAATTACAATTAATATAAAAAAAAAATGTAAGAGAAAATGGATTTGCTAGACTTCTATTTTCAGTCTCAGTGTCAAGAAATGATTATTTGCAACGAAGTTAGCAAGAAAGGAAACTGAAAATGATTATTTGCAACGAAGTTAGCAAGAAAGGAAACTGAGCTAAAATTTATCAATCTTTTAAATGGCTTTTCTAAATATATTTTTTTCTTTTTAAGGGAGAAAACTTCCTGTAGTATTTTATACCTCTTTTCTATATTGATTTTTTCTGTTCACCTTGAATGTTCAGACTTCACAGAAATAAGACAGATTTTTAAAAAGTACCTTTGGATTCACTAGTTCAAATTACCATATTTATCCTTTGTTAAGAGGGTATTTATCCTTTGTTAAGTCAGATAGTATAGATAATGAAAAGCCAAATAAGAGATACAAGAAGAAAGTAACCTAGAAGGAGACCAACTGTGTAGCTTATTCTTACCTTGGCTGTTTTTTTCACGGGTTGACATTTTTGCTGGTTGAGACAAAAATGACAAATCTTACAATAAAAATTGGGCATTTTCTTAAATGACTACAGTAATGCACTTTTCTTTGACTACTATGAACTAATAAAGTACACTGAATAAAAATAAGTCAATATCCTTATCAATTAACAAAAATTAAACTAATGTAGAAAAAGCAAAATAATATATATTTTTAAAGATTTTTAATTTACCTTGGTTGATGATGACATCTTTATGCCTAAAAAAGAAATTCAAAGAACACATTTATTTTATAATTTCATATGGCTGACCATTAAAATCACCTGAAGAAAATGTAAGGTTCAACCTAGGCCACACCCTAGATAAATCTCCAAAAGTGAAATTCAGGCATCAGTATTTTTTAAAGTTTGTCACTGGTTTCAAATACTAATATACACAGTTTTATAAAATAATAAGTATCCCACAAGATCACCTAAACAGTGAAAGCATAAAAAGAATTTATGAAAAATATTCAAATCTTATGGAATTATTGAGATTTATTATCTGAGTTTAGGGAGCATTAACAGGAAGATATGGCTTTCCTCAGAAGACTTAAAAGAAAAAATATACCAAAAATAAAATATGTATATATATATATATAAATTATAATATAGATTTTTTTAAAAAAAGATTCAAACCAGACATATATAATTGTACATGTAAACATGACAGTTACAGAATTATTAATTTTCAAATATAATGGAGAAAAGCATAATACTTACTTATCTGTATTTTTTATAACTTTTGATATTAATTTTGATGTTGAAGCTATTCTCAATAATTTATTACGACTATCATCTGAATTTTCCCATGAATTCTGTGACTTTTCAGCTGTTGGTGGTCGTCTTATGCTAAAAGAAACACATAAATTTCTTAGAGAAAAATCCTGAGTAGAAGAGACATAAAATTGACAGTTTAAATCGAACACAAAAGCAGCAATTAACATTTCCTTAAAGCTAATCCAGAAAAGAGAAGAAAGGATTAGTTGAAAGGCTCTGCCTGGATGAGTAAAGGAGTTAAACAAGGCAATTAACAACTCTCTGGGAATGAATTTAATAGTTTTCTAAGATTTCCAAGCAGAAGTAGGTTGACAAAATATATCCATACCTAATCATAAAGCTTGAATCAATGTTTCTAAAACAGGCAAATTTAATTAAGCTGTTCTCAGTATTTTATTATGAGGCAGCTATAGCACTGAACTCCCAGCATGCAGGTTTAGATCCCCAATTTAGGCTCACACACACTGTTAGAATGTTTCTCCCTTCTCCCCCTCTCATAACTTTAAAATATTAATGATTACGAACACAGAGAGAAGCCCTCAAGCAAGCCTTTAGCATAGAAAAGACCAGGTGAAAGGGATTCATTTCTCTATGCAAGCAAGAACTTATCCTCCCAAGACCCAAAACTGAAACTGAGCTGTAGCCGCAATGAAGAGCCATTTGTTGAAAAGGGCCCTTGTAAGTTGAAGGTTGTAATGATGCCAAAAATATGGTGAGGATAATTACACATTGCCATTTTTCTATCCATGGCTATACATTTATGCATAGGTATATATAAATTTTAAAGTATTCTATAATTTTATTATAACAGTATTGTTTTGGTTTTAGAGTAGATTATTTTTTCTGCCTTCCTTTCATCGGATTGTTTCTAACAGTTTTTTTCTCTTTCCCAGTGTTAACTGAGAAATTTTGACCTTAAATCTTTATTCCCCAATGTGCTAAAATATAGATTATGGCAATGAAAGGGAAAAAAACCACCAGGCTTTTCTCTTGGAATCCGTGGAGAGCCAACCTTTTCCCAAGTCACAGAATTTAGGTATCATTACAACCATTCCCTAGCTCTGTACTCAGGGACAGTTTAAACCTTTTGGTGGGAGTAGAATTCTTGCTTTCTGGAGTTTGTCTGTGTATTTGGAGAGGCTGTGAAGAGGGTTGGGGAGAAGGTGATGCTCGAATTTGTGGACTTTGATCATTAGAATGAGAGTCCTCTTTTTTTTCTTTCTGTCCTTGTGGTTTTTCTTTCTTTTTTTCTGTACCACTGTAAAATAAAGTATAACATGGAACAACACATATTTAAACAAACAAAAAAAAAATCAAACGATAGAAAAGTGATTATTATATAATTTAAAACTCTAAATCATAGAGCTATCACAATTTACACTGCTTTCATTCAATAAGGAAAAATATTTCTTTGAAAACTCTGGAAGCTATTAAAATCTTCAGTGAAGAATTTGTAAAAATTCTAAGGCAATTTATTCTATGAAGATTGCCCTTTTGGACAGAAATGGGCCTCTAATGAATTTCGTCACCTTGGCAGATATTGGGGGACAATATAAGCTCTCTTAACTGATCTCAATTTATCCAAATCAGAGTATTGGTAACATTTTCCATTGTCTGTGTAAAACATACTGATTGATGCCCAAGGCATACTAAATGTTCATGTTTAATAGGTTAGTCTCTAATTCCTGTTTCTTATGTGTATACTTCTGCTTCTGCCAATTGAGTTTTAAATTTACCAAGAGTAAATTTAAAGTAAATTTCCCAAACCTGTTTATGCCAGTTGTAGTTATTTTAATTATGAGCTAATTAAACACACACACACACACACACACACACACACACACACACACACACACACAAAATATACATAGAAAAAAATTGCAATTTCTATGAAAACTAAATTGAATGCTCTGGAGAGACTATAAAAATGAGTTACTAAAAAAAACTTGTTAAATTTAGTATAGGAGAGAGAATTTAAAAAATCATAGAGAGATGGGTTCTCACATATTGTTTTGCCAGAGTTTTAATTTTCTTACTGTGCCTTAAAAAAATAAAACTAAAAATTATAAGAAGTTATTTATAAGTGTATTTATTAAAAGACAGTCAAGGAATTTGATCAGACATGCATACTTAGAAAGGGGGTAGGAGGCTTGGCCTTTCATAAAAAAATCAACAAATGAATATATGTGAATATATTTTAAGTTAAAATAAAATATTTAAGATATTTACATATAAATTGTTATGATTCTGCACTTTGACTCTTTTTCTTTTTATCAGCACCACACTCTCCCGAGTGAGCCACAGGCCAGCCCCTCTTTTTCTTTTTAAAGCCTACGGCACCCAATATTCCCAGGCAGTCTCCTATCCAAGTACTAACCATACCCGATCCTGCTTAGCTTCTGAGATCAGATAAGACTGGGCGTCTTCAGTGTGGTATAGCCATAGACTGCACTTTGATTCTTAATGAACCCACCAGCCATTCCCAATTACACTGGATAAGAATACTTACACTTTTGACAATATTACAAAGCAGATGGAATAAAGACTTGAACTCCAGTGCTGAAAAGGTAGAAAACTATCTACTGTCTATAATTCTTAATCAAAGGACATTTTGTAATTTGACTATAAGGTACATAATCTATAACAAAGTATGTTCAAGGACATTTTTAACAATTATACACAGTATGCACAATTTAACTATCACATTATAATAGTTAAAAATGTATCATTTTGACAGTGACATTTCTTAATCTGATTCAGTTCTGGTAATTTCTGACTTCAGACTGTCCCTTGACTATCTACCTACTTAATGTTCAATTTTTTTTTTAAAGTATGTGCTAAGAAATACAATTCTACCTTACAAAATCAGATTAATCTTGAAATTTAAAAAAACTGAGTTAGAAGTTACTTCTTTCTTGTTGGTCTTCAAACTATACTGAATGCACACACCACTACTTTTATGTGGGCCTAGTACAACCTAGAAGAGATTTTCCTTCTGGGTTATTTAAAAGCAAACTACAGAGCCCCTGCACCATAACATAACAAACTCAGCTGATCTTAGACTGTTGAATTACTATTGTGTGTAGTACTAAACACTACACAGCAACAGTACAATAGCTACGTAAGAAAATGGGCTGAATCCTAACTATTACTGGATGCAACATGGAAGTTTATTTAAAATTTCCACCATGAGTTTTTCTTCTTATAATCTGTCCTTTTCTCCTGATGGTGAAGCACAGGTAATAAATTTTGGCATCGTTTGGAGGGGAAAGTCTAGACTCTGTAATAATGACTTCACAGATTGAATTTTAGAAGTAATATTAAAAGGGCTAGAAATCTTACTATTTCTTTACCATTACAAAGCCAACTGTTTGGTTAAACATCTACAAATCCACAGTAACAAATACTTCAGTCACTGGCTTAAGTTTATTGAAGTAAGCATTTTCTATCAGTACATTGTTACACATTATCCTATTACTTATGGGTTCTCTCCACTCATTCTTTGAAGAAAATAGTTGTAAGATTATGTAGTTGATCTTCTATGGTCTCTCCAAACTCGATATGGAACAATTTGCTAGAAATTACAACAAAGGGGAATAATCCTGAAAGCAATTTTATTGGAACAATAGATTAACTGATTGATGGACAGAATATATAGAACCCTCCATAGCTCTCCTGCTCACCATCCCCCAACATGCAGACACAAACACACATAACATAGTACTATAATATTTTGAATTAAGCCTTAATTTTATAGTCATGGTTAAAGAATAAAAGTTATAATGGCATTTAATCTCCCACAAATGTAGATTTATATCAGAGATTCTATTTTCCCCTAAAAATGCTATATCAAATATATCACTTGCTATATGGAAAATTCACTTATGTAATTTCATGATATATATTACAGTTATCTCTTCAATAAATGCTTCTTAAAAGAAACAAAAAGAAGCAAAAGAAAACCAGGAAATAAAATTGCTTTCTTTCAAGGTCTTCCTCACACAACTGGACAGGTATGATGAATATAAACTGAGTGAGCATAGCCTAGATAATCCCTACATTCACAGTTAAAAAATTCAAAGGACATGCTCACTTGAATTCCTTAGAGCTCTATTTCATTTATTTTTCAAAACTAAGACTGATTTATCACATTCACACAATTTTTGCAAAGTTAGGTTTTTTCCCCTTTACAAATGGGTACCTTTTAGCAGCAGATGAAAGTGTTTCTTTTCTTGCAACTGAGACAGAGCTGGTGTGACTTGGTTTCCTGTTTGCACCACTTCCATTGGTTATACAGGACATGGAAATAGCTTCTCGAAGGCCTGGCTGGCCTAAAAATAGTTAAGAAGAAAAATTTTTATGTCAAACTTTAAAATATTTCTTAAAAATTGAAGTTTAAAAAATTACATTAGCATTTATTACTTGTGAGCAGATTGCCGTCATGGTAGGCAGCATATGATATTACTGTCTCAAGATGTAATCCACTACAACTGAAAGGCCATGCTGAGTTGTTAAAATGCAGTTAGGCTTATTCTCCTAACTAAATGGTTTGCTCTCCACACATAGCAGCTTTAAAGCACATGATTCAACATTGTGCTACAAGTAAAACATAAATTTTAAATCCTAAAAATCATAAATGTTAAATCCTAGAATGTTAGTCCATATAAATAAAGAGTAAGTATATAAAGTAACCTCTTTATATACTTACTTGCTTTCTCAACTTATATAGTAGGAGGGGAACAAATGTGTGATGGGTATGTTAGTCTGGTCAGAAAGACTCAAAGTCACAGGATAAAACAGTCACATCTACTAAGTCTAGTTTTATTTAAAGGTTTGGAAATAGAGAATAATTTTGAACTTTTGGACGTGCATGTAAGCAAAAAATCTAACATTTTGATTTGGACAATCTCATGTTTCTTTGCTTCTCTTCATAAAAGTACACCTTTTCTAACGTGCCTCTCTTAGTTTACTCTCTCACTAGCCCCTTTATTTTCTTCACAGTCTTCATCACCATTTATAATTATCTATAACTCTATGTGGATTCCTTGTTCATTCTGTGATTCTTGTATACAGCCCCATGCTTAGCACTGTGGCTGGCACACAGAAAACAATGTCAGAATGACTAAATGAATGCATCTTCACCACCACTGCCTCAAATTTCTCTTTCTGGATTATGCTTAGTTTATCTCTATTTTCCCTTCTTGCAGTTTTACCCCTCTCTAAGGCATCTCTACACTATGCCGGAATGATCTTTCTAAAACATGCTACATGTCTTTGAATTTAATATTCCACCAATTGTAATATGCACCATTGTATTAAGTACCACTAGAAAGAAAGAAGTGTTTCTTACAAGAACTACCAAGACACCATCAATTGTAATATATTACAATTTTAGAGAGGTTAAAATGCAAAAAAAAAAAAAAAAAAAGGCATCTTAGAGCAATCAATTACTGTAAATCTGCCCATCACTCCAGCTTAAAATACTTTAATGGTTCTCCATTGCCCTCAGGATAAAAACTAAATTCCTTAGCAAGGCATAGGAAAACCTTTCACTATGGGCCCTACCTACCAGTCTAGGCTCATTTCTTGACACACCCAACCTCACACCCTGCGCTTCAGTTTATTCTGAACTCCTGATCTAATTTACTCTTTTGCACTTTTACACCAGGATGGTCCTTTTCTCCAGCATATGCTACTCTCCTCTGCTTGCCTAAACCAATATGTACTCATCATCCATCCACCCATCAAATATTTACTCAGGATCTATTATGATCCTAGCTTTTGGTTTACAAAAGTGTACAAGGCAGCCACTGAAATCAAAGAGTTCAAAATCTTGCAGGAGAACCCCTGGCAATGAAATCATGTAGTAAGTACAGGGACAGAGTTATATCAACAGAGCATCATGAAAATACAAAGAAAGGTCACATAATCTTGAAAAGATGATTAGAGATAAAGAGCTCAAGGAAAGCTTCCTTGAAGAAATACAGAAGAGTGCTCTTAAAGGTAAGTAAGAAATAGCCTGTTGAAGGGGGGTTGATAAGATACTGGGATCCTATTCCAGTATGTGTAAAGGAACAGCAAGACTATAACGCAAAGTGGGTGTGTGTATATGTAAATGTGGCACTTGGTGGGTGGACAAAAAGCTCTTCTGGTGTGGCCACGATGTAGAACAAGAGAGGACTGAGTCTAGATAGGAGAAGTAAGCAGGATTTAGATCATAGTATATAGAGGACAGAGAACCACTAAAGGGTTTTAAGCTTAAAAAAAAAGACAGTTCAATTTATGTTTTAGAGAGAACCCTCTAGTGACTATGTGAGGAACAGATTTCAGGGCAGTGGTGTAAACATAAGATGACGAGGACCTGAAACAAGACCTGAGTAGCATGAATAGAAAGAAGGCAGTTTTACTATTTAGGATTTAAAAGATGTCAAATTCAGTTTTGGGATATGCCATACTTATGAATTCTGAAGGACATACAAGTGGAACAATTGAGTAAACAGATAATTGTGAAGTGTAGAAGTCTAAAATATAGATAACAACTTGGGTACTGGCAGCAATAACTGGCTATTAGGACAAGGAAGGCAGAGGAGTGCTGATGACTCCTCCAGCAAGGAACCTTCAACCCTAGTTTGAGTTAGGTATTTATTCTAGGTGCTCCCATAACACCCTAAATTTACCTTTTTAAATACCACTTACATAGTTTTGTTATTGACTGTCTGTCTTCTCACTTTACCTGAGGTTCTTTGTGGGAAAAGGCAGTGACTTTTATTTCCTTATCTCCAGCACCTAAAGCAGTGCCTAGTACATTGAAAAGATGAAGGAAACAGACAACTGTCAACGCAATAAGTGGTACAGAGTAATATTAATTATCAAGCATCTACTATGTGCTAGGCACTGTCCTCAGTATTTTATAATTATTGTCTCCTTCAATCTTCATCACAATCCTAAAAGGAATTAAAAGAAACTAAAAGGAATTAAAAGAAACTAAAAGAAATTGAAGAAACTGAAGTCTAGAGAAATTAATTACCATGCTCAAGGTTATATTGTAATAGGCAGTGAAATCAAGATTTGAGTCTACGCACAAGGACTGGTAAATAAGTACAGAGAAGGAATAATTCTGCCTAGTAAAGAGTGTTTTGAGCTGTGCGAGGACAATAGACAGGAAACTACCAAATGGGGTGGGGGGAAGAAAATTCTAAGCAGAGAACAGCACTAAGTCATCAAGGTCCCCAGATACTTAAAACAGCCAGAAAAGACCAAAAGAAGATTTTCATGGTCACTTTCAATCCTATAGTTTGGGATAACTCTTAGTACTAAGAATCCTTAGTATTTGGATAAAAGCATGAATGATATTCCAGGGTACAGGAAATGAATTAAGTAAAGCAGAGGTAGAAAATAAAAAAGAACTGTGGGTGAATGCTTGTTTTTTCAGCTGAGAAGTCAAAAGCATATTCTTTGAAATTTAGAATATTAGGAAGTTAACTGAAAGGAAGAAACAGAAAAATGATCATTGCAGTTACGCAAATTTATAACTGGAATGCATCATTAGCTCTGTGTGTGTACATGCACGTGTGTATTTTCCCACCCTACCTCCCCAGGGCTTGGGCATTATAAAGCCTGAGCCATAAAACTCTCAAAGACTAGCCTGCAAGACTTGAAAGAAACAGTGACCTTCAGAAAACCAAAGGTACAAGAATAGTTCTATTCTCAACAGCAACCAGGCTGAAATAAGAGAAATTTAGGCTAAAAGGTCCTAAACCACGGAAGGTACAAATTTAATTTTAATCACAGTGGAAACCATCATAATGCCAGGGTTGGAGGCCAATGAAAACTTTTATACTTTAGCTCACTTTATCAAGACATGAGACTACAAATCATTATGGTTCATATTCCTTGATGATAGACTCAAGCAGGTGAACTTTTTGACACTGTAGTCTGACAGTTCCTAAATATGAATGAATTTCACTGTACTCTAGACTTGCAAAGTAATTATTAGAGACTGCTGCACATTTCATAGTTCAAAATCTGAAATCCTTGTGACTCCCATATGTAATATTCTCTTATTCTTGTATTATCTCAATCCCTCCCTCTGAAGCAGTAATTTTCTTTTTTTTGTCTTTTTCCGTGTCCGGCAACGGATCGCAACCCTCAGTGTCGCCCCCGCACCGGACCGGGACCGGCAACGGGACCGCAACCCTCGGTGTTGCTCCCGCGCCTCGCTTAGCCAGTGAGCGGGAACCGGTCTGTATGTGGGATCCGAACCCTCGGGCGGGAGCGCCGCCGCGCTTCCCAAGCGGCGCACTATCCAGTGCGCCACCGGGCCGGCCCAGTAATTTTCTTTTATCACAAGTTCCTGTTTCTATAACTTTCTTCTTCCTGCATTCAATTTAACAAGCATTTATTGAGTCACCCCAAGGCCAGCTACGTTAGTTAGAAACCATCCTTGCCTTCAAATAGTTTATTATCTAGCAGAAGCAACAAATATACAGGCCAAAAAAGATGTACAAATAAAATTTTTAAACAATTCCAAGAGACAAAAAATAGAAATATAATTTTCAGTAAATAATTTGAGGCTTTAAAGGATGGGCAAAATTTTGATCAGGACTGAAGGGCAGAGATGGTCCATGGAGGAAAAACTCTGGTTGATCCTCAGATTATTTTATTTATTTCAGCTTTCCTGTTACATACTTCACAGCTCCAACTGTATACCTCTTCCACTCTCTTCATTTTCAAGCTCCCTGAGACCTTTTTCAATCTGACGATTACTTTGCTTCATTCTTTGAGAAGATTGAGGATTACATGTACTCCATCAAATTTTATCTTCTCCCTTTGGAATTATATCTGTACACTTCTCATTTCCTCTTGTCTCACAGGAAGATGTACTCAGTCCTTTCAACTTCTGGCCACTAATTTTTTAAAAGTGTATTTTGAGAGGAAATGACAAAGAAACAATTGATTCTCATAGACACTGTAAATGATAATTGCTGCCTGGTCTGAGCAATAGCCACCAATATAATCCTATAAACAAAGAGCAACTTAGAAGTCTCTGAGGTATAGCTGAAATAATGAGACACTCCTTCATCCTCTACCACAGTTATCAGTCATTATAGTGTGAGGGTTCCACCAGGGAAATTCACACCTTCCAAATCTGATTAATGTAATTTACTTATCAACAACACTTACAGCAAACGTATGACAATCCCTGCCTTCTCCCAAAAGTTATTTGGGGTAGGAACCACATGATACAGATTTGGGCCTTTACCGTATCCCAGATTTTATATAACTAGGAATGTTTCTTTCGGAGAACTGACCCCTATATTTCAATTTTGCC